AGTTATCGATGTTCAAAAGTTGATTTCAGGTGATTCCATGGATTCTGAGCTGCAAAAGCTTCACTCTGCTTGCCAACAATGGGGTTTCCTACAGGTTTCATGTTCTTCATGATTTTGTTTTATTGTGCGAATAAATTTTATTTGCGAAGCTTCAAAAACACTCCTAAAGTTTATGTTTTTCTCTCACTAATGTGAATTTCCTACTTTTAACTATTAACAAATGTTTATCGAAATACAATTCATGTATCAAATGTTCATTTTTACTACGATGATATTTCAAGTAGGAAAAGGATACAACTGTAGTAGAAATAAGCAACTTTTATAAATCTTGGCCAAACATATTCTATTCTTAACGTTATTTTCATCTATTTAGTTCAAATTAAACATATAAGACATGTAAAAACTTATTTTCAGCTTTCCTTCCCCCATTAAAAGTGTTCAGATTTTAAATAAACTGTAATATCAGAATAATAGATTCTAAAATGCATAATCCTTTGTTAAGGGAAAAATTCCCACATCGGTTGGGCTCGTTATAAGGCGTGACCAATCCTCCTCCCTATGAGTTAGCTTTTGGGGCGTGAGTTAGGCCCAAACCTAATTTTAACAAAGATCACTTTAGAAAAGTGACTTCTTGTTTTCTTGTAGAGTGCCTAGATTTGTAATTTTTAAAAGGTTAATGAATTTGCTAGCATATTGTTGAATGTTAGGTTATAAACCATGGGGTGACACCTTTGCTCTTGGAGGACTTCAAGAGAGAGGTTATTGAATTGTTCAAACTTCCAATGGAAGAAAAGAAGAAGCTATGGAAACAGGAAGACAGCTTGGAAGGTTTCGGGCATGCATTCGTTGTGTCTGAAGATCAGAAACTTGATTGGAGTGACAGGTTTGGCATACTGACTCTTCCTCCTCATATCCGCAAAGTGGATTTGTTTCAGAAGTTGCCCTCGAAGCTCAGGTGCCTGTCTCCTTACTAGATTATTACTCTATTTGAGTGTTCATTACTTAAACAATCATTGATAAAGGAGAACACAATTACTTTTGGTTTTTTATAAATTAGGTAACCAGATTGTTAACTATACTTTTTGTTAAAAACTTGTATTTCTAACTTGTGCCTTGATCTTCGCACTCTAAGATTTTAATATGTTTATGTGTTTGAAATGCAGGGATATCATGGAAGCATACTGCAAAGAAATTAAGAGCCTAGCAACGAGCATTATATGTCAATTGGCAAAGGCTTTAAGGATGGACGAAGAGGAAATGAGAGATCTATTCAATGATGGTATGCAGACGCTGAGGATGAATTATTATCCGCCTTGCCCTGAGCCAGACAAGGCAATTGGCATAAGCCCTCATTCTGATGCCGATGCCATCACCATCCTCTTCCAGCTCAATGAAACTGAAGGTCTCCAAATCCGGAAAGACGATGTTTGGGTGCCTATAAGGCCCCTCCCAAATGCGTTGATTGTGAATATTGGGGATATGATGGAGGTAAATAACAACTTCTTACTGAGTAATTTATTTTTCAAAAGGGTAGCGACGTAATGATAATTGGAGTTTTTGTGTGCAAGTTATTGGTTTAGTTTGGTTTTATTCACAGTGTCATACAAGTTATTGTTGTTGTTTGTAAAGAAAGAGCTCACATTCTAATAAGATTCTCTATTGTTAAAAATATCATTTCACATAATGTGGACGTAAATGTGTTATTTGACTTGACAGATAGTGAGCAATGGTGTCTATAGGAGCATTGAGCATAGAGCAATCGTAAACTCAAATGAAGAACGTCTCTCTGTTGCAACATTCTGTGCGTTCAACCTTGAGTCTGAGCTAGGACCTGCACACAGCCTCGTTGGACCATGTAATCCTCCTATTTTCCGAAGAGTTCCCATGCACAAATATTTACAGGACTTTTTTGCACGAAAACTTGAAGGAAAGTCATACCTTGATTCCATGAAGGTAGAGGCAAAGGATGATAAATCCTAGGTAACATTTGATATAGTATAAGTTAGTTACTCTTGCTGTTGTAATCTGGTGTTCCCCTGTTTGATTACTACAAAGAATAAAAATATTGTACTCTTCATTTCATAAAATGTGACTTGTATATTGAGAATATAAATTGTTTTTTTGGTTGTTCTATTATATTGGCATAAAAGAATTTATGATAACTTTTAACGGACTTTTTTCATAGTATAACATTTATTCATCAAACACTTACCAACTATTGGATATAGATAAATAAAAAGCCTCTTACGTGAGGTATATAAACGTATTTTTATTTAGACATCTTAATTGAAATTGTTATTTACATTTATGCTTGAAAATGCACCCTAACTAACACCACAAATGATTATAATTGATTATTGGGGAACAACGTTAATGTTAAAACATAGGTTAGTGCAAATTTGAATAAAAAGTATTTCTTTTTACTATTTTACCTTATTTTCCCAATAAATTGCACTTTATTTGAAAGGATAAAAAGACTTCTAAACAATGTGAAATTAAATAATAACATCTATCAGTTAATAGTTTAATTAAAAAATGTCTCTATTATTATTTTGGGTCAAAAATGATCAATATGTTAACTTTTCCTTTCTAAACACGTTCTTTTCTTAATATCTTCATTGTAATTTATTATTAATTTTCATATTTATGAACTCATAGTTCATCATTAATTTTCATTTAGATGATGGCAGAAAAATCCTAAATATATTTTTCGAATTGAAAAATAATAAATATTAGCTAATATAATCTGATGTTAAAGTTAAAATGTGTTGAATAACCATAAATCATGTTCTTGTGAATTTGTGATGTACAATAAAATTTTCTTAAATTAATATAGGCGGGATCATGAAGTATTATTATTTTATGAATATATTATTTAATCGTTAATTAATATTTAATAATTTAAAGAGTATTTGATACTGAAAAAATTGTTCAAGGATGGAATCTCAAAGAATATGAAAGAACCCACTTGTGATTAATGATCTCGGTTACTGTAATAAATGGACGTTAATAACATATCGAATGTGTGAAAATAATACACGTTTAGAGGTCCAAAACTTAGAATTAACAAAATTGTGAATATCATTTAAAAAATAATGTTAATGATAAAGTTAAAGATGACACAATACATTAGGAACTAGTACGCGTAAGGAAACACTTAAATCTAGAACTCATCACAATTTTTTGAGGCAGTTAGAAAAGACAACATCAAAACTTTTGAATGAAATAAGAAAAGTTAGAGATGCACTTCAACTAAATTTAAAATTTTAATAAAAATAGAATATAATAAAATCATATTTCACTAAATTTTCTAAGATATATTTGTACTCTTAAACAATTATTAATTTATAATATTAATGGGACCATATACTTATAGACATAATACATATATTGGACCCTAAACTTACATTCAAATTTTAACCTTTACCTCCAACTTTCATAATGCACAAACAGACACTTTAACTATCCAACTTTTAAATAAATAAACACTTGAGTCCTACATGACAGAATATACGTAGGACATCACGTAGGACAAAAAAATGACATGTAAGACATATGTGTGTATTTGTTCAACTTTATACAAGTTTAAGTGTTTATTTATGTACATCCAAAATTGAAAAGTATAAATTTAATTTGAAGCCAAGTTAAATGACACATTTATGTATTATGTCATTTATATATGAATCTATTAAAAATATATTATCTTATTATCCAAGAGTAATTCTTTTCATTGACACAAATTGTAACCAGAGAAAGTTATCATCTTAGTGTATGCTAATGAGAAAGTCCCGACCCTTTATAAAAATAAATTTATTACTCACTTCTACAACCATTTCATTGGTTTTTCAGTCATTTGATTTTTTATTTTTTTTCTTTATTTTTAAAAAATTTCTTTCTCAATAAGTTAAAAGCATAATACATAAATATATATTTTAGTTGATAATTCTCAGTCATATTTATGTCTATAAGTTTTAAATATTTCTATCATCTATTATATAAAAGAGTGAAGTGGTTGGACAATTAAGGATAAAAATTTAATTTCATTCTAACAAATTTTTTAAGAAAATAGTCAATAATTCTAGAAAATTTTTCTATATATAAATTGAACAATGATCAACAGTAAAAAAAGTAATTTTATGCTAATAAAAATCTATCAAATAGAATGGTAACAAGAAAATTAAAATTTTTCAAAACCTCTTTAGTTATCGTTATTAATATTAACTTATTTTGTTATTACTTCACTTTCTTTCTTTTTTTTAACTTATTTGTGATATATATATATATCAAACATTTTATGGAAACCGATAAAAGGAAGAATATTAGGACAGTATTTGAACAACGTTAATGTTAAAACATAGGTTAGTGCAAATTTGAATAAAAAGTATTTTTTTTACTATTTTACCTTATTTTTCCAATAGATTGCACTTTATTTGAAAGGATAAAAAGACTTCTAAATGTTTGTGTGCTTGAAATGTAGGGACATCATGGAAGCATACTACAAAGAAATGAAAAACCTAGCAAGGATGGACGAAGAGGAAATGAGAGATCTATTCAGTGATGGTATGCAGTCAATGAGGATAAATTATTATCCGCCTTATCAAGCTCGTAATCCATAAATTCTCCCCCTAACCAAAACTCTTAAAGTCATTAAGACTACATTGTGAATGCTGATTAAGTTAGAAATAACATGTTTCTATTTATAGAGTTCTAAACCTTTTTCTACCAGAAAAATGATTAGTTAATTGAAAAGTTTTTCCTAAAAGAAAAACCTATTTATGGTAAAAGATCAGGACAAATAGAACTCAACAAAAACTCGATAGAGGGGAAGGATGACGAATCTTAGGTAGCATTTGATACGCTAGTACATGTTGCTCTGTTGTAATTTTGAGTTGATTACTCCAAAGAATAAAAATAGCTGACGTTCCTTTTCATTGAGAATATAAAATATACTTTGTTGTAGTATTATATTGGTATGATGGAACTAGCATGAAATTTTTATTTGTTACTTTGGAATAGTTGCGGGCGGCTATGTAAATATGCAAAGACAAAATTATTAGTTAAAATTACTTGATAAATAATACTATATGGTTTTGGAAGAAATAGATAAACCCAAAGGTGAATGGGATCTATAGTTTGAAGGAGTCATTGTATCTATATCTCTGCTATTCTTTTCCATCAGACGTTAATAATTTTCAATTTAATTACTAACAAAGAGTGACGACGGTGGCAAAAATGAACTTTGGAAAATCTCTGTTAGTTCCTAGTGTTCAAGAGCTTGCCAAACAGCATCTAACCAATATTCCGGCCAGGTATGTCCGCCCAGAAGAAGAATCTCCGGTCATATATGCCGGAGCATCGGTCCCAGTTATCGATCTTCAAAAGTTGATTTCCATGGATTCTGAGCTGCAAAAGCTTCACTCGGCTTGCCAACAATGGGGTTTCCTCCAGGTTCCATTTTTTTTTTTTTGCTTTGAAAATGGTTCTTAAGGGGTATATGTATTGACCTTTTGAGAAATTAGCTTGCATATTATTGAATGATAGGTTATAAACCATGGAGTGACATCTTCGTTGTTGGAGGATTTCAAGAGAGAGGTTATTGATTTGTTCAAACTTCCAATGGAAGAAAAGAAGAAACTATGGCAACAGGAAGACAGCTTTGAAGGTTTTGGGAATGCATTTGTAGTATCAGAGGAGCAGAAACTTGATTGGAGTGACATGTTTGGTATAATGACTCTTCCTCTTCGTATTCGCAAAGTGGACTTGTTTCACAAGTTGCCCTCAGATCTCAGGTGCCTTTCTCCTTACTACTACTCTATTCGAGAGTTCGTTACTTAAAGAGTATTAAAATCACACCTAAATTACCCCAATTTCTTGAGCTTCATATCTGAATTATTGAGAGCGTAAGTTTCCTACCTGAAATTCAGGGGCATTATAGAAGCATACTCCAATGAAATCAAGAGCCTAGCAATGATCATCGTATGTCACTTGGCAAAGGCTTTAAGGATAGATGAAAATGAAATGAGAGAGCTATTCAGTGATGGTGTGCAGTCAATGAGGATGAATTATTATCCGCCTTGCCCTGAGCCAGACAGGGCAATTGGCTTAAGCCCTCATTCTGATGCTGATGCCCTCACCATCCTTTTCCAGCTCGATGAAACTGAAGGTCTCCAAGTTCGAAAAGACGACATTTGGGTGCCTATAAAGCCCCTCCCAAATGCTTTGATTGTTAATATTGGCGATATGATGGAGGTAGGTAAATAACAACTTTTTCTTGAAAGAACTTAATGTGGACTAAATATAAAGAAATATCACTAATCCGTTTACTTGGATCGGAAAATGTAATGTAACATGTTTTATTTGACTTTGGCAGATATTGAGCAATGGTGTTTATAAGAGCATTGAGCACAGAGCAATTGTAAACTCAAACAAAGAGAGACTCTCTGTTGCAACATTCTCTACCTTCAACCTTGATTCCGAATTAGGACCTGCACATAGCCTCATTGGAACAAATAATCCTCCAATTTTCCGAAGAGTTGTCGTGCAAAAATATTTACAGGACTTTTTTGCACGAAAACTTGACGGAAAATCATACCTTGATGTCATGAAGGTAGAGGTGAGGAATGGAGAATCCTAGGTAGTATTTGATAATATAATTTACTCTTGGCGTTGAAATCTGGACTTCCATTACTATAAATAAGAAGATTCGAGTCTTCTTCATTTATTTTGTTTTAAGCATGTTCTTCCATCTCAAAAAAATTCATATTTTTTTTTGGAAAAGAGATTAAAAATTCTCCAATCTACTTTTTCCCCCCCTCAAATTAGCTAATGGTCATTTGCAATGTAAAATAGTCACATGCCATATTACGATTCGTCACATATGTAACTTAATTCAAAAGTTAAATCCACCAAATTCTCAAATCCATACCCCGTTATCTTTAACCTAAACCGCCCCTAATTACTTCAATTATATACAAAATATGTATAATATTTGTATGAAATCTGTATCAAAATTGAAGTTTTGAAGCCACAACAGCCACTTTCTCAATCGAAAATTCATAATCAGTTTGGGTGGAAGAAAGCCCCAACCACAGGCGCACTTACGCCGAGGGAAGTTTGGGTTTTCTTCAATGAGAACCTTGCCGGTAACGGATCGGTTCGCCGCCGATCCAATTTAAGAACTGAATCGGGTTTACAAGATGAGGTTTATGCTCAGTAGCAGCTCTTTGTTTAGGAGAAAATCACATCTTTTAACTACTACTAGAACAAAATCAAGGCTAATTGACCCACCTGAGCAAAGATTAATGGTTTACTATGAAATTTGGGATTTTAGAGAGAAGTACTGAATTTGAAGATGACGAAGGATTTACCAGAAGAGTATAAGAAAATGAAGTTAAAATAATTCTATGTTCTTTAGATGGTGAATTTGATTTTGATAATGGTTGCTTTTCTTTGTTATCTAACTATTAGAAAATTTAATAATAGTAAGTATATAAATAAATTTATTTTAACAGCAAGAGTATAATCTAATTAATAAGCTAAAACTGTTAGGTATTTTTGACAGATAATCAAACGACTCATTCTCTATATATATCTTAAATCATTTATAATTTATTTATTTATTATATTTTTATTAGTGTAGACATTGCTGATCAATTTTTTTTTATAAAGAAAAGGAAACATAAATTAAGTGAAAAAAACAGAAGATAAATAATTAATTAAAGTGATGGACAAACGGGATAAGATTTTGAACTTTATGGAGATATTTTGTTAAATTGTTCGGCAGGAACAAATTTGAATACGTAACCTCTGGACTATTTTTGTAATTTTTCCTTTTATTAATAAAAAATTAAATCCCATCTGCACCAAAAGTCACCTGAATATAGGTGACTAATTAGGCAAAATGATTAGAAATTGTAGGTATATTACCAGATGGACCACGTGTTTATTTACCCAAAAAAATGACATAAATAATCTCTTAATTATAAAGGTAGGTCTAATGATTTTATAGCTACACACTCAACAGGTTCCGTCTTTAAATTATTCAAGTACCTTAATTATATCCTCATTAATTTTAATATGTTAATTATAAATTTATGGATTTCAGTCTTTTTAATATTTAAAAACTTATCAGATTTGATCTTTATTCATTTTTTTAAAACAAAGTAGCTTAGGTTTATATTAACCGATTCTTCGTGAAATTAAATCTTTAATTCATTTTTAAAGTTATTTCTCTATCCCATCCTTTTTTATTCAAACTACTCTTATAAAAGAACAATAACGTCAATAATTTAAAATACAATTAATGAGAAAAAAATATAAGTCCTATTTTTATTCAATTAAAAATAAAATTTAAGCACTAAAATGTGCTAATTTGTGCCGGTTTTTATCTAATTTACTCAAACAAAATTACGTAAAATAAAATGATAAATAATAAAATTAATTTATTTTTAAAAAAAATAAAAAATTACAAATCTACCACTTTATAAATTTCAGATTTTGAAAAACTAAAAAAATTATGTTTAATGAAATCATTATAGTACAAACTTTGAATTTAGCACGTAATAATTTTTTTCTTTTGCATATTCAAGACATTCGTAGCAATAATATGCTTCTTTTTATTTCCTGTTGAATAAAATTATAACTTATATTTTCTTTCATCGTAAATTTTATTTTAAATAGTTAAGATTAAGATTCTTTACAAAAAATTAATTTGAAGAAAAAATAACAAAGACAGAAACAACAGAAGAAATTGCTAAGGAATTTAATTTCTCTATACATGAATTGTATTCGATTAATGTAAATCTAAAAATAAAACTCTTTCACTATAATCAAGTTGAGATAGTCAACCGAACATATACTAGACAATTAAACATGACTTTTTTTTTTATATTATATAATACACGTTATCCTAGACAAATAAAAATGTCCATTATTTCTTTTTGCATTATATGATACACGTTATTATTTCATATCTCAATAAGTTTACTTTGTAAAACAAGTTTGAGGGAGAAAAAAAATACAAACTTCATCAATGGAAGAAGCAAAGTTGAGAAAGCTAGGTGGTTCTCTGAAAGTCCCTAACGTTCAAGAACTTGCAAAGCAACAACTAGCAGCCGTTCCATCGCGATATATGCGCGATGATATTGAAAATCAATCATATTCTTCCATATTACCTCAAGTTCCAGTTATTGATATGAAAAAATTGCTGGAAATTGGAGATATTGATGATGATTCGGAACTCGTGAGGCTTCATCTCGCTTGCAAAGAATGGGGATTTTTTCAGGTTTATATATCAAAAAAACACTTTTTTTAAAAAAATTATTGTTTTATGTTACAGAAATGTTGGAGTTGACTTATTTAACCATCAATAATACAACTGCACTCCAAAACATACAATAATCTTATTAAATATAACAAGTGATATTCTTTTTTTTGACGTATTGAAACTAACCTAGGAAGAAACAAAATTTAACAATCTTTTTGATTACCGATCATATCTTTTAATTTAAAAATAAACTGATGTATCTTCGTGTCGCATGATGATATCGATTTTTTTAAAAAAAAATACATGTGCAGCTGGTGAATCATGGAGTGAATTCCTCATTGATGAAGAAAGTGAAATCGGAAATCAGAGCATTTTTCGATCTACCAATGGAAGAGAAGACGAAATTCGAGCAAGAAGAAGGAGATCTCGAAGGATACGGGCAAGCATTTGTTGTATCTGAAGAACAAAAGTTAGATTGGGCTGATATACTTTACATGATCACTCTCCCTACTCATTTGCGAAAACCTCACTTGTTTCCAAAGCTTCCTGCCTCGTTCAGGTACGATAATATATAACTGAGTTTACGATTAAATATTTAGTTCACAATATTTAAATTCTTGGACCGATAAGGGATGCATTGGAACAATACTCAAGAACACTGAAGGAACTTGCTATGAAAATTCTGTACGTAATGGCCAGAGCTTTAGGGATGAAAACAGAGGATATGAATGTACTATTTGAACAAGACGGGACACAAATGATGAGAATAAATTATTATCCTCCTTGTCCTCAACCAGAGCGCGTAATGGGGTTATGCCCCCATACTGATGCTATTGGTCTAGCTATATTACTTCAGGTTAATGAAACGGAAGGTCTTCAAATTAAGAAAGATGGAGCTTGGACTCCGGTTCCATATCTTCCTGATGCCTTTGTTGTCAACATTGGAGATATTTTAGAGGTGAGAAATAAGTATATATGCATGTTTGGTGTAACGAAAGACATTTGTCAGCGTGGCAAAAGTTATTTTCTAGTGTTTGGTTATGAGAAAACTTATCAATGTTGTTTCACGTGCAGATTCTGACAAATGGAATCTACAAAAGCACTGAACATCGAGCAATTGTGAACGAAGATAAAGAGAGGATTTCCATTGCTACATTTTTGAGCCCCAATCTGGATGGAGATTTAGGTCCAGCTCCTAGTCTCCTCACTCCTCAATGCCCTGCAGAATTTAGGAGGATTGGAGTGGCTGATTACTTCAAAGGATATTTCTCTCGAGAGCTCGTTGGAAAATCATATGTCGATTCTATAAGAATTGGAAATGGAGGCGATGGAAGCAATTGATAAATGTTTGCATTTTATGCCCCCTTGGATACCAACAGATTGTTTGATTTGGATGGACTTTTTACTGTATCATTTTGTGGATGTATAATGTTTGAATAAATTGTGGCATTTGTTGTGGTTGAATAACATCATTATTGTTTGATTTTAATGTATCAAATCGTATATTAGCTACCTAAAACTGGTTGAATGGAACGACGTATCCATGTTTATACCCTGTGCTACTTGGAGAAGATGCTCAACATCTACTTCAGGGAAATGTTGTAAAAGCTTCAAGTTGCCTACAAAATCACCCCTTATTAGTTTGCTTTTAACACACATCAGCATAGCACAACAGATCCTCAATAGTATCTCCTGTAAATGAGCCATGGAGTTGGATGAAGAGCGTCTTATATATTAGATCAACCACAATATCCATCCATATAAACACACATTGATCGGATAAGTACCTGAAGGCCAAAAGGATTGCTGAGAAGCGTATCCCAGATCCGTAAGATGTGATGCAAACTAAACTCCTGAGTAAGGAGCAGAGTGATCCACCTAAATGCATAGAATTGCGGGTTAACCTGAAATCAAAACATTAGCTAGGACGACTGATATATATGTGAGCAATAACTTAGGTATTTATAGCTGTGCCTAAGAAATAGGTTCACATTCACCTTTGTTTTTAATTCAAGATGGTGCCACAATTCTTCATCATTAGTTTTCAATAACTCTGACAATTTGGAAAGAGTTGAGTGGATACCAAACGAACTGCAATCAAATTGTTGACAGAAGTGATCCACACAGCTACTCATTAGTATAACAAAACAGGAAAAAGTATCTGCTTCTATATTTGCCTGCACAGTGGAGAAAAACAAATGAAGCTTCTACTATTAACGAAAGAGTTGGCGAAGGCATCAATATAAACTATAAGAGCAAATTTGAGGAAGAAGAACTTACAACATTATTTTCATCATTATCGGTGTTGAAGACGTAGTACAATGGGGCCAAGACCTCATTCATACCTTGTACATAACTAATTGCAGGATTTAATTTCGCAAACAAAAGAAGAATATTTCTCATTGACTCCTGTAAAGCAAAACATAAATTCGGAAAGAAAAAACTATCACAGACTAAAATGTTAAACTAAAATCAAGAGTTGAGAGATATAAGTAAAATGTTACCTTATTCTTCGTAGATAATGATGAGTCTCCTGAGAAGAACTCTAAATCTGGATGAGTTCGCTGCAAATCACGGTCTATCTGCTCTGAAATTTCTGTAAACTACAAACACCACCATTTGTATTTTGTATTCATAAAAAAACATCTTCAGGTGATATAAAAGGTTGCAGAAGAACTCGCGGTGCAGTAGGTACTTGCCTCAAAGTACTGATGCCATATGCTAGTTTTACCTAAACTTAGTGGATGATCCTCTTTAGAAATGTTGTAGCGTTTAAGGGGCTCAATGACTCCGCTGCTAGTGTCGTGTCCAAGCAATATCATGCTTTTATCTTTTCGACATGACAATTCTGACTGTCTAGATCAAAGATTTCTATGAACAATAAGGGACCAGCTAAGACCATAAGTTACAAGGTAATGCAGCTTACAGGTTTTCGTAGAAACTCCTCTTTTAGCTTGTTATATTTCAATCGACTCTCGTTTAACTCCTTCTCCCATAGGTCTCGAGAAGTAGGTAAATATCCCAACAGTAGCTGCAATTTATAATCATGGAAAACAGAGTTATTCGATTTCAATTTCAACATATTTGGCGAAGAATATAATGCTTATACTAATGCGATCAGTTAGGGTAATTAATAACCTTCCAAATTGTTGCTCGCAAACTCCCTCCATCAGGAATACCTGAACGGGCAACTCGTTGCAACTTCTCCAAATTAATCTCCTTTCGAGAAATCTGTTTTACAAACAGCATCAATGATCAAAGAACGCGACAATGAAGTAGTGATCACCTCTAAGCAAAGAGCGGAAACAATGAAAATTGTGATGAACAGTCTCACCTCATATTCAAGATCAGATCGTTTATCATCATCGTTGCAGGCGTGCAATACAATTGATCCCAATTTCCTATTTTTGCTTTGGGGAAAACTTATAAGCTCATCATCAAAATCATAACATCGATCCTTAATCATCTGCTTCAGAGCAAACTCGCGAGTCAGATCAAATGTCTGTAATTCTTCACCAGATTCAATTTCTTCATAATTACTTTCTTCTCTACCATGATGGAAGCCATTGATCACTAAACTTCCAATCTTTTGAGGAAATACTACTAATTTCCTCGGTTTTTCTGGAACGTTGAGCTTGCTAATCTTAGGCGTCATTTGCTCGAAAGAATGAATGATTGAGGAAAAAAAAGTTTCTGCTTTTCACTTCAAAAGAAAAAAAAAAGATAATTTTAGAAGGATTTTGGTTTATAATTTTCTTGTTAAGAGAGGAAGAGGAATGTCAGTTAGCCGTTTGAATGGTTGGCGGGTTCTTTTCCTAAGAGTCAAATACTTACCTGCTAGTTATATTTTTTTTCTCAAAATATATCCTTTCAAGTTATACTTTTGATTTAAATATATCTCTAATATTATATTTTGACACAAATTAACCCTTAATTTAATTAGGGACACGCAACAAGCTCAAAATCTCTTTATTCACAAATTCTTTCTGATAATGTAAAATTAACCATAAGTCATGTTCGTGAGAAGGTCCATTTGTCAAAATAATTTCTATAATGATTTATTTGGGTTTCCAGTCGTTTTCTTTTCTTATTGTTTTCTCAATTTTGCTTTCAATGGTCAAATAGAGTTGGTGAAACTGTTCCGATAAATTTGGTACCTTACGATGAGGGGCGGATTTAGGAACATAGAATGTGTGCCACGTGACACAATTTCGTCGAAATTTTTTTATTGAATATACCTATATATATATATATATAAAAGCATAATACATGAATGTGCTTTTTAACTTGGCTTCAAATTATATTTATACCCTTTAACTTTGGATATGCACAAATAGACATTTAAATTTGTATAAAGTTGAACAAATAGACACACATGTCCTACATATCATTTTTTGTCCTATATACTGTTCTACGTGTATTGTACCATGTAGTTATTATGTGTTTATTTATTTAAAAATTGAATAATTAAATTACCTATTTATATATCATAAAAGTTGAAGATCAAAATTAAAATGTAAAGCTAAGTTTATAATCTAATATATGTATTATGTTAAAAAGAAAAAACACAAAAGTATAAAATAGTTTACAGGACACTGTTTGTAACTAAATGTGGCAAGCTTAACTATGCTTACAATCGTTGCATGACGTCACAGGTTGGATTCTCGGAGGCACATTTTTTTTTTCTGTTTGTTTTATTGGCATCTTAATGTTTTCTTTTAGCAATTAGAGTTATAGTTAAATAAAAGCCCGTTTGGATGAGCTTAATAAAAGCAGTTTTAAAAAAGTACTTTTAAAAGTGCTGAAACTTATTTTTAAAATAAGAAGTTATGTGTTTGGATAAAAGTGCTGAAATTGTTATGTCAAACGTGAAAAGTGAAAAATGAAAGAAAGAAATGTTAGGGTTATATGGGTAATTTGGAGATTGTACAAAAATATTAAGCACAAAAAGATAAAAATGTGGTCAACTTAAAACAGCTTATAAGCTAAAAAAAAAAAAAAACACCCCTACCCCAGCTTTTAACTTTTGGCTTAAAATAAGTTTTTTTTAACTTAAAATAAGCTGTTTTGAGTATTGCCAAACATCTAAATAAGTCAAAAACCAGCTTTTAAGTCAGTTTGACCAGCTTTTAAGCTGAGCCAAACAGGCTCTAAAGGCCCGTTTGGATGGGCTTAATAAAAGCAGCTTTAAAAAAGTACTTTTGAAAGTGCTGAAACTTATTTTTAAAATAAGCAGTTATGCGTTTGGATAAAAGTGCTGAAGTTGTTATGCCAAACGTGAAAAGGGAAAAATAGAAGAAAGAGATATTAGGGTTATATGGATAATTTGGATATTGTATAAAAATATTAAGGGAAAAAACATAAAAATATGGTCAACTTAAAACAGCTTATAAGCTAAAAAAAAAAAACACTCCTACCCCAGCTTTTAACTTTTGGCTTAAAATAAGTTTTTTTTAACTTAAAATAAGCTGTTTTGAGTATTGCCAAACAGTTAAATAAGTCAAAAACCAGCTTTTAAGTCAGTTTGACCAGCTTTTAAGCTGAGCCAAACAGGCTCTAAATCTATATTTCTGATTTGTGATTTTTTTTGGTTCTTATTCATCTATCATTCTTATTTTTATCTTGAATCTCCATATTAGGTTAATATTTTTTTGTTATTCAATTTTTTTATCATGTGCTTGAATTTTTATTTTTATTTATTCATAATAATAATTTTATTTTTTATTATCTACTTGTTGCAATGAAATATTTTAGAATTCATTAAATTGATTAAAATTGTTTGTAATCCTTGATCCTCAATTACTAATTGTGCAGGTCAAATCATATTAGTCTAAGTTTTTAATGGAGAGTTATTATTCCAATTTTTTTTATACAAACAATTTTAACTACTCAAGCTTCAACTGACTTACGAAATCGAATGGATAATGAGTTTTTGAGTGATTGTTTGGTGCCTTATATAGAAAAGGAAGTATTTAGTCGTATTTCTAATGAGGATATTATGTATACCTTTAAAAAATATGGAATTTCGGGAGAACTATAGTTATATACTCGAATTTATTTTATTATTATCACCTGAGTCATTTTTTTCATATATATTATAATTGCAATGATTTTTTCATTTTTTTGAATTATTGAAAAAGGTTATCCGACATGAATAGTGGTGTAAAACTTCTGTAAAATAGAAAAGTATAGAAATAGAATATAATTTAGGATTTATACTATGAGAATTATATAAATTATACAAATAAGGCCTATAACTTCTTCTTTTTTTCTTTTCTTTTTCATCTTCTTTTAAAGACGTAATCATTTATTTGCAATGCCCATGTTGAATAATATTGTAAATAAAATTTTATTTAATAATATAAAGATGTAAATGGTTTAATTATAATATTATCTAATTAAAAGAGATCTTAAATTTTTGGAGGCCTAAAAAATTTTTTTGATTGATTTTCTTAAGTCAGCCATTTTGTCCCTTTAATAGTGATACCGCTTTTAAAAAAATGTTGTTGTGTATGCCACTGCTTACAATTAAACAACGGAAAATGGCATATGTAGTTAAAAAATTAAAAATTATACTATTTATATACTATATGGTTTTGGAAGAGAAACCCAAATTGATTTTAAAAAAATTCAAGTTTGCAACAAAAGCAAATGGAGTCAACGCCGGAAAAATTATACTTTGGAAAATCTCTGTTAGTTCCAAGTGTTCAAGAGCTTGCCAAACAGCACCTAACCAATATTCCGGCCAGGTATGTCCGCCCAGAGCAAGAAACTCCGGTCATATCCACCGGAGCATCGGTTCCAGTAATCGATCTTCAAAAGCTGATTTCAGGCGATTCCATGGATTCTGAGCTGCAAGAGCTTCACTCTGCTTGCCAACAATGGGGTTTCCTACAGGTTTCATTTTCTTCATAGTTTTGTTTAACTATTTCAGTTAGTAAAAGGAAATAATTAATAGTTGATGTGTGTTTTGATCGATTGTTGATGATAGTTCAAATAAGAATAGTGAATCACACAGTTGATGAGTGTTTCGATAAATTGTTGACCATAATTCAAATAGGAAAAGTGAAAATTTCATAGTTTAGTAACTTTGGAAGTAAAATATTTATAATTAAGTAACTTTTGAGTTAAAATAAAATTGAGTGAAGAGTATGTTTGATTTTAAAAAGGTGTGAATGGAAAATGAAGAGTTGCGACTTTTATGAAGAGTCGTGACTTTTATGAAATGTTGCGATTTTGATGAAAAGTTGTGACTAAAATTGTGATTTTTATGGAAAGTTGTGACTTTTATGGAAAGTTGTCGCTTTTATAAAAGGTGACGACCTTTCTGAAAGATTGTGACTTTTCCAAAGGTTTGTGACCTTTCCGGTAAGGCACAATAAGAACATTTTCACACTACCCTTTGTTTTCTATAAATTGAGGGATTTCCTCTCATTTTAATATAGAATTCATAGACTTCTTCTTCAACTACTAAATCTAATATTCTAAGTGTACTTTACTGCCGTTGAGTGGTTCGCTGACACCGGAGTTTTTGGTATCTATACTCTGGTGATTGAGATCATTTTACCCTGGAAAATAATTTTCTTAAGGGGACACTGTGAGTTCAGTGGACTCGATTTTTTTTCCTATTAAAAATTTCCAGATTCTGCTTCGTATTTTACAAATTTTAGATTTGTGAATTAATTTCAGCTCTTCTATTTTTTTTATTTCACTGGTTCACTAAACATGGTAACTTCGTGTTTCTGCAAAGTTTGTTGGAAGCAGTAAGATTCTTTAGACACATATTAACAACAATTCTTCTTTAAGAAAATATTTCGTATATTTTTTTTTTTAAATCCGTTTCTGATTCTAGTTTCACTACTAGTTCTAATTTTCTAATTGTGAAAATGTTCTTAAACTTTGTTGTCTTACAAAGATGTTCAAAGTTTGTTCTAAGTATGTTTGGAATACAAGATGAACAACAGAGTATAGTTGAGCGACTTCCTGAGAAAAAAAATTCATAATTGAGTGACTTTTGAATTAAAAACCAAAATTGAGTTTGACTTTGTGAGAACAGAGTCTATTAATTGAGTGACAATCTATGATATTGTCTCAAGAATAATATCACGTTAGCTTTAATCCTTCTCATTTTTTGTTGATAGTACGAGTGTTAGTTTAGACAAAATTAGTCTTTATTTTCTCCTAATGCGCCTAGCTTTGTAATTGTTGAAAGGTTGTTAAATTTGTTAGCATAATGTTGAATGTTAGGTTATTAACCATGGAGTGACACCTTCGTTACTGGAGGATTTCAAGAGAGAGGTTATTCAATTGTTCAAACTACCAATGGAGGAAAAGAAGAAACTATGGCAACAGGAAGACAGCTTGGAAGGTTTTGGGAATGCATTCGTTGTATCGGAGGAGCAGAAGCTTGATTGGAGTGATATGTTTGGCATAATGACTCTTCCTCCTCGTATCCGCAAAGTGGACTTGTTTCAGAAATTGCCCTCGAATCTCAGGTGCCTATCTCCTTATAACTATATCCCGCTCTCCTCATCTTTTAATTAATATGTTTGTGTGTATTGAAATGTAGGGACGTCTTGGAAGCTTACTGCAAAGAAATTAAGAGCCTAGCAAGGATCATCGTATGCCAATTGACAAAGGCTTTAAGGATGGACGAAGAGGAAATGAGAGATCTATTCAGTGATGGTATGCAGTCAATGAGGATGAATTATTATCCGCCTTGCCCTGAACCAAACAGGGCAATTGGCTTAAGCACTCATTCTGATCCTGGTGTCCTCACCATCCTTTTCCAGCTGAACGAAACTGAAGGTCTACAAGTCCGAAAAGATGATATTTGGGTGCCCATAAAGCCCCTCCCAAATGCTTTGATTGTGAATATTGGAGACATGATGGAGGTAAAAATGTTCTACTACCGCCTGAAAATATTATGCGCGTAAATGTGATATATTTAACTTGGCAGATATTGAGCAATGGTGTGTATAGGAGTATTGAGCACAGAGCAATTGTAAACTCAAATGAAGAAAGGCTCTCTGTTGCGACATTCTATTACATGAACCTTGAATCCGAATTAGGACCTGCACACAGCCTCATCGGACCACATAATCCTCCCATTTTCCAAAGAGTTTCGGTGCACAAATATTTACAGGACTTTTTTGCACGAAAACTTGACAGAAAATCGAACCTTGATTTTTTGAAGGTAGAGACGAGTGATGGAGAATCGTAGCATTTGTTACACTTGTACAAGTTATTGTTGCTGCTGTAACTTGGAGCTTCTACGTTTTTATTTTTCTGTTATGTCATAGTCTTTAACTTACTGTGGCCTCGTCTCAATAAAAGCCATGCATATAGATTGATGAATTATACAACTTTGATACTTATTACTCCATCCGTTCATTTTTATCTATTATTAAGTTAGACACATACATTAAGAATTTTTTTTTTAATTGATATACTTATTTTACCTCTCTATCCCTACCAATTAATGTTTAGTATTGGATCTTAAAAAATGATACGGATAAATAGTATTAATGCTAAGGATAAAATATAAAGAAAAAAAACTAATTGTCTTTTTCTTTATACGTAAAAGATGCTAAATAAAAATAAAAATTTATTTTAGGAATAAGTGAGAAGTAAAAGTGAATAGAGGGAGTACCTAAAGTAAGAATTACCTCTCCTATTTTAAAAAAAAACAACTTTTTTTCTATTTTAGTCTGTTTAAATGATTTTTTTTATAATAACTTTTTACATGACATGTTTAAGGTAAATAAAGTATTATCAAGGCAGTAAGCACCTATAAGGATTGTAGTGGAGCAATAAATATTCTTTCATCCTTAATAAGAGGGTCCGTGTTCAATACGAAATTATCTTTATTAGAAAGTGTTTAACCCCTCAATGTGTATCATGATTTAATCAGACTCCAAGTTTTATTGACCACGTAATAATCTGATTAGATCCTCCTAGATCGATCATAAAATAATCTTGCGTCGTTGTCTTATATAATTACAACACTACTAATTAATAGTCTTGGGTCATTCTACATTTTTATCCAACCATAAATTTGAAACGTTGTCAAGGCAACGTTACCACAAAAATCTTATGCAATAATCTTTCTATAAATACAAATAGGGGAATCAATGCCACATGTGTAACTAGGAAGTGACCAATCCTAGTTAATGATTTTGCTGGAAAAATTATAAAGCTGATGATGGAAGAAGCAAGGTCGATACTATTTAGTTAAAAAATTAAAAATTATACTATTATGAACCTGCATGCCATATACGATAATTGAGATATATTATCTTTTCCATTAATTATTATCAAAAAGTATAATTGATTTAGGCATATCATTTTTTAAATGCTGTCAATTTGCAGATCCAATATTTTCCAAGCTTTACCTTCCACTTGGGTTCGTAATTATCTACAACATTGATACTTATTACATACGAGTAGTAATTACTCGCCGTCCTGTATATTTACCCAAATAAAATTAGAATAAATTACAGAAATAAATACATTTTGTTTCACTTATTTTCATTACCCTTTATTATTTTTAAAAATTTCAAAAATTGTTTATTTTTTTAATTTATACGAGTTGCATATTAATGTACCTAAGTCAGTATTTAATATATTTGAGTTACATATTATGTATTCGGGCCAGTTTTTAATATATCCGAACTATATATTAATGTATTCGAGATAACATTTACTGCATCCGGGCTACATATTAATGTATCCGAACTTCAATTTTTATATCCTTTTTTTTTAATTTTTAAGGAGTTAATAAAATTAGAAACTTATTAAGGATAAACTGTAATTTCATATTAAAACTGTGAAATTTACGTAATTTATGCAAATTTAACACATTGTCAACACAATGCATCATCAAGTTTTATTAAATATTAACCCCCCCCCCCCACAATAATCTTATTAGAACCTACTAATCAATAAGTATAGGATAATCAAATTGGGACGATTATAAATTAGTCTTAGTATCGTTTCCATACATATTTATCCAACGTTGTCAAGGCAAAGTACAATAAAATTTTATCGACTACACACAATAATCTTTCAATCCTAGATAATGATTTTGCTAAAAAAAAAAAAATACAAGTTGATGATGGAAGAAGCGAGGTCGAGAAAGCTAGGTGGCTCTTTGAAAGTTTCTAACGTTCAGGAGCTGGCAAAACAACAACTAGCAGGTGTTCCGTCGCGATATATTCGTGTTAATGATGACGAAAATCAATTGTATAATTCGTCCATATTATTGCCTCATGAATTAGCTCCAGTTATTGACATGAAAAAACTGCTCAAAATAATTAAAGACGGTGATACAGAGCTTAACAGATTTCATCTTGCTTGCAAAGAAGGGGATTTTTCCAGGTTACGTTTCATAGATCAAACACTCTTCATTATGCTCCATAACTACTTTTTCTCAGTTAGTTTAGCAAAAATATATGTCTAATTAAATTGCGCAGTTGGTGAATCACGGAGTGAGTTCATCATTGATGGAGAAAGTGAAATCAGAAATCAGAGCATTTTTCGATCTACCAATGGAAGAGAAGACGAAATTCGAGCAAGAAGAGGGAGATCTCGAAGGATACGGGCAAGCATTTGTTGTATCTGAAGAGAAAAAGTTAGATTGGGCTGATATACTTTACATGATCACTCTCCCTACTCATTTGCGAAAACCTCACTTGTTTCCAAAGCTTCCTGCCTCGTTCAGGTACGATAATATATAACTGAGTTTACGATTAAATATTTAAATTCTTGGACCGTTAAGGGATGCATTGGAACAATACTCAAGAGCACTGAAGGAACTTGCTATGAAAATTCTGTACGTAATGGCCAGAGCTTTAGGGATGAAAACAGAGGATATGAATGTATTATTTGAACAAGACGGGACACAAATGATGAGAATAAATTATTATCCTCCTTGTCCTCAACCAGAGCGCGTAATGGGGTTATGCCCCCATACTGATGCTATTGGTCTAGCTATATTACTTCAGGTTAATGAAACGGAAGGTCTTCAAATTAAGAAAGATGGAGCTTGGATTCCGGTTCCATATCTTCCTGATGCCTTTGTTGTCAACATTGGAGATATTTTAGAGGTGAGATATATGTGTGTTTAGTATGATACAAGTCAATTTGTGGGTAAAGCTCTGTTAATTTTGTTTTTTTTGCAGATTGTGACAAATGGAATTTACAAGAGCATTGATCATGGGGATAAGGAGAGGATCTCTATTGCTACATTTTTTAGCCCCAAATTGGACGGAGATTTAGGTCCAGCACCAAGTCTCCTCACTCCTCAAAATATAGGAGGATTGGAGTGGCCGATTACTTCAAAGGATTTTTTTCTCGAGAGCTCCATGGAAAATCATACCTACATACTCTAAAAATTGGAAATGGAGATCATGATAGCAATTGATCAATGTTGCATTTTATTCCGCTCGTATGATAATTATTGTAGCAATGGTGGTCTGTTTAGTTGTATGAGCTATCTCATGTGATGTAAAAGGTTGCAGAAGAACAGTTATTGCTTATATTTATATTTAAAACCATTAAGAAATGCATAAACTTCCAATCCTATATTTGAATTGGGAAAGGGTAAAAATATGTTGCTGAATTATTGAGAACAGAGCAATTATGCTCTATTATCTGCTCTTTGACACAAAAAATGCCATAGCCATCAAGGTCCGCCACCCTTTGGATACTGATTTGACAGAACTCAATAACTTTATCTCAAATTTTATATTTGTGTTAAAAAATTCATTTGATAGGTAAAAACAGTATTCTTAACCATGTAAACACAAACGAATTATGAAAATTGTAATTAACAGTATCACCTCATATTCAAAATTAAAAAAAAATCGTTTTAATTTATTTTTGTTTAATTCGAAATGTTAATTAGTTGGGTCTTTAATTAATTAGGGATGGTAAAATTGATCTAGGCCTGCCCAACTCTAGTGGCCAATCTAATTCCTAGAATTTGTACTTGAAGTTAAGTAATATTTGAGATTTGACCTCTAATTTTGTGTTCACTAAATTAAAGTCACTCTATTAGACACTAACCAAAAAAAATTTAGGAAAAACTACAAAATATGATAAATACTAATATACATTTAAAATAAATATCTACAATCCATTTCTTTTTTTATGTTATATGGATATAATTACACAATAAATAGAAAAGTTAATTATATATAAAAATAATTAGAAAAGTAATTGATATTAAATAGGAAAGTTATTGTTACACACCTAATTTATTATCTCTAAGCATGTTGTGTGTGATTGGTTCCCGTGTTTACCCTCACTAATACTTTCTCTTTCATCAAATTTCTTTCAATTTAAGATCTTTTTGATGATTTTAGGAACAATTTTGTAATTTGAATTCATCATATATTACTTGATTGATTTTCTCCTCGTCTTTGTGTAGATCATAGTTTTATACATATATGTTGCATCTATTTTTATAGGCTTTCAATTGACTTGTTTCTGTATTACAATGACTATAGTAATAAAAAAAAGTAGTACAAGAAGAACACGAACAAAAAAAGATTGAGGTTTGTAAAATTGTCAAATTTGTATATAGTAGAATAGTTATATACATATATACTTGTATTTTAATATTAACACAAGTTGAAATGGTAATTTCTGAATACAAGTATATTTGGATACATAAGTAATCTATCAAATTTGAAAGGTTAATTAGGCAATACAAGTATAATTAGATACATTAATATAATTTTTTATTAAAAAAAATGCACGAGTCAACACCAAGCCTCAAGTATTATAAGAAAAACTTGACCAAAAGAGATTGATGTTTGTTGATTTTTTCATTTTTTTATACAACCGAATACTTGCACACTTTTGCTACAAACACATTCTATTATTTTTCATTTTTTTGTTTATTTATTTGTCAAATATATTCATCTTTTGTTCAACAATAATGTTCATATGTATACTATATTAGTGTATTCATTTTTTGTTTAACAACAATGTATTCATTTTTCAAATTATCGTGTTTATATGCTGAATTGTTATACTTTATCTTGTTTAATATATTAATACATTAAGTTTTTACAAATAATTGTATTCTTAAAATATTAATACTTTAAATTTTATAAATAAAGATACTAATTTGAATTCATAAAATTAATATAGTTTCCTCATTTAGTTCATTGTAATTAAACTTGTATCAATGTATAATAGAAAAATAAAAAATATATACAATAATATAGCTAGTAAAAAAGCTAAAATATAATCATTTTTATATATATCATACTTATAGCTATTGAACTTTAATAACCCTATAAATATAGTTATTTTTGTAGGTTGCTCAAAAAATTACTTAACATGTAATACAATTTTTTGCTGAGGCGAGGGCTTGCCAAACCTCCCAATATTTTCACGAAGTAAATGTGCACTAGCCTTTTACTTATTAAAAAATTAATAATTGATATAACGAGTTTACTATTTTATTTTTATTAATTATGAAGTATATAAATTAAAAATTATTTTTTTAAAAATTCTAAATTTTTTAATATAATAAATTGAGAATATAATAGAAAAAGAAATTATTTTTTTTATTTGTTAAAATAAACAAGTAATCAAGAATAACTTAAAAAGAAAAAGTGAAGAATTAATTAAGAACAAAGTGAGTAATTTTTAGTCGTGAGTAGCCATGCCACGATTAGAGCGTGGCATTAAATCTTCAGCTTTCGAGAACAAAAATTCTTGCTTAATTTTTTTTTGTGTAGAACCTAACCTAAATTTTGACTTTTGTTCTACATTTAACCATTTTTTTAATTTAAATTCAAAATAAACTTCAATTATGATCTTGATACTTGCGTGCATAACTTTGCTAATTTACGATGGCATGAGTAATTAAATCTTTATTAAAATGCATATATAGTCTATTTGCATGCAATTTGTTAATTATTTTTACTGAGAAGTGACATAAATTGATGAACAATTAATAAGTATACAACGATAGTCGTTATTACTTACTTACCTGTCTATATATTTCCCCACCTATTAAAACGTAGCAGAGGCAAAGGACCACAAGTTTTATTTCTAAAAAATAATTTGTTTATTTTTTTGTGGGGTGAGGTTATAGAAAATAAAGATTTTTCTTTTAAAAAAAAAACAAATTAATTTCTTTTTTATATTTTTTGGGATAGGCTGCTTGGGGTCGGCATAAGTGGTGGGGTGTGGTAAAAAATAAATTTCTTCCTTTTTTCTTCCATATATAAATAGCTAATATTCAAATTTATCGACCACACACGCAATAATCTAACTAGATCATCCTAGCTAGTCAATATGTATAGGATAATCAAATTGGAATTATAAAACAGTTGAGGAAACAAGTATTAATAATGATAATTTAAGATTCTGACAATATTGATTTAGTGAAATTTTACTCTATTATACAGAGAGTACTCAAAAGAAGTGAATGAGCTAAGCATGAAAGTATTGAAAATGTTGGGTAAAGCTTTGGGGATTGAAGAAAAAGAAGTGGAGTTTTTTTTGAAGAAGGAATGCAATCAATGAGTATGAATTATTATCCACCATGTCCACAACCAAACAAAGTGATGGGACTTTGCGCTGACTCAGATTCCTCTGCTTTATAACAAAACTTCTTCAACTCAATGAAATTGAAGGTCTTCAAATTAAAAAAGACGAAATTTGGATTCCCATTTTACCCCTTTCTAATGCCTTTGTAGTCAATGTTGGAGATGCTTTAGAGGTGGTACTAATTCCTTTATTCTCTCCTTTACTCTTTTTTTTTTTTTTTCATATTCTCGTGTTTCAATTTATGTGATGATATTGAAGGAAAGATGTATAGGTACTCTCTCAGTCTTAATCTGAAATTCCAGAGATAAATTTTTATCATACGAAGGTTCTATTACCCCTGAACTTATTTTATAAATAATTTTCTACTCCTTTTTGGCCTACCTGACACTAGATTGAAAAAAAGTCAATACACGCTGGGCCCACAAGATAGTGTCACGTAGGTCTAAAAGGGTAGAAAAATATTTATAAAATATAAGTTCAGAGGTAATATGATCTTAGTATAATATAAGTGTGTCTATGAAATTTCAAGCATATGTTGAAAGGATACTTGTGCATTTTCTAAAATAAGATAATATGTAATATGAAAAAGAAAGGACGATTTAGATATTTATGTGACAATATATTATTTCAGTAAAAAATTAAAATTAAAATATTTCTAAGTATATAAAAATAAAATCCTTTTTAGACAAATTAAAAAGATAATACTATCAGAGTAATTGATGAAATGATTTAAATCCATCCTATTTTATGTGAAGGTAAGTTAGTGTAAAATATAGAGGGGGAAATATCATTTCTTAATAACTTGATTCAAAAATGAATCTTTGTACTTAATTAATAAATCAATTTCAAGCATTTTTTTTTACCACATTCCATTTGTTTTATTTGGTTTTAGTCTTTGTAAGCTTTGTGTAAAGTTTTTTTTTTTTTTTTGCCAGATTTTCTCAGATGGAATTTACAAGAGCATAGAGCATAGATCAGTGGTGAACTCAGAAAAAGAAAGAATGTCAGTAGCAACATTTCAAAATCCAAGATTAGATGGTGAATTAGGTCCAGCTAATAGCCTTATTAATGCTCATAATCCACCAAAATTCAAAAAAATTTGAGTTGCTCAATTTTATAAAGGATATGTCACACGTGAACTTGTTGGGAAATCATATGTTGATACCATGAAAATTAATTAGTAGTTGAATTAATTGTAATTAAGTTAATCCTACCATTATTAAAAAATTAAAACAAAATAAATTTTTACTTGTAACTTTTCACTTTACGACAAATCGAGATAACTAGTAATTTTCTCTTTTTGTCAAAGTTACACTAATGATCGACGTTCGATTAACTGTTTCCCCTAACTATCAAGAACTTCTTATTTTAAGAAGTAGCTTTGTTAAAATTACTGTTTAAAATAAAAAAACTTTTTGAGAGAAGTATGGTGATTGGCAGTTGAGATTGATAGTTGTGGTGGATGATAGTAACAGGTTATGGTGGTGATTAATAATTAGCGAAGACAGCAATATATAAAATGTGATGGTTGATAGTGGTGATTGTAAATGGTGACTAATGACAGTAACAACGATAACTGATTATAATGTATTGACAATATAATGATTGTGTCGTTATTAGTGATGAATATTGACATGTAATTAATAATAATAAAAAACAGTAACAAAAGTTTATAATTATCGACGATGATGAATAGATAAAATTGGTGAACTGCTATTTTCTAAAGTGATGAAATCAATGGAATTTGTAAATGTAAATTGTTAGATCCTAACATAATGTAAAATTGATCTAGGCTCGACTAAAAACCAACCAATATGTCACATATTAGGCATGACTTTTTTAAAATCTTGTTATCTAAAAACAAATTATAATATATTGTTATATAATTATAATTTATCTCATTAAGAATAAATAAAATTTCAAAGAAAAATTACTTTAAAATAGATGAGAAAAATATATTTTCCCTGTTAAAAATATTAAAAAAAGAACACG